TCCATAACGAATTGCCATCAAATGTGTATTACAATAGTAGAAAATTGGTCTTTCAAGAGCTAATGGTGCATCAAATACACGATTTCCTCTAGAATTTGATGATAAACCTTTAAGTTGATGCCAAATTTCGATTCCATCATAGAAAACATTTCTTCGTTTTCGTTTTCTCTGCAAAATTCTTGCTTTTCATATCAACTACTAAAATAACTATCATTAGCAATAATTTCTATTAATATTATAGTAAAATAACAATTAAAATAATTTTGATACTATAAAACAGAAAGCATAAATTAACCATTTTGTCTTATTTTAATATATCATTTTTATTCCTAGACTGGTTAATGTTAAAGAAATGAAATATGCTAATGTTGTAATAAAATATCACAAATATAATTATCATTCTGTAAAATAATTACTCCTTTTGATGCAAGTTGTTCAAATGTTGGAAATAGATCAAGTGACCAGATAACTTCGTGTGATATAACACCAGAGCGAATCGTTCCTGGCATCCAAGAAATAAATGGTATTCTAAATCCACCTTCAAAACTATTGGATTTGCCACCTAAAAGTTAATCTAAATAATTCAAAAATCAATTTTTTTTAAACTTAAAAATTTTTAAATGATGAAAAATTGATTTAAAAAGAAAAAAAGAAAGCAGTAACCTTTTAAACCAGCCGTACTACCACCATTAAGACAAAGCTCTTGATGTGGTCCATGATCTGACATTAATATCACCAATGTTTGCTTTTCAATTTTTTCATTTCGTAAACTACGTAAAACTTGTCCAACAGCCCAAGCCATTTCATTAATATTATCACCAAATAGGCCTAAGAACTTAATCTATTAGAAATGCAAAAAAAAAAAAAAAAAAAAAATAAGAAACAATGAATAGCACTATAATTAATTTTTTAAAATTGTTATATTTGCAAAAATTGCAAATAATTTTCTAATTATTTGATCATTCAAAAGATCAATAATTTTTACTTTCAACAAATTAAAAAAAAAAAAAAAAAAAAACCTCGTACGGAACTGTGTCGAAAACGTTTATTAGCAAATTGTGAGCTATGCACATGTGGAAATGAGAAATAGAAAAAAAATGGCTTCTTTTGAATATCAGTTTCCATTCGTTGCCCTGAAATTTTATATTTCTTTTATTCAACATTCTTTTTTTTTTTTTTAAATGAAAATAAAATTATATCAAAATGAATTCTATTATTTTTTTTTAATTTAATTTTTTTCTCTTACCATATTTACATGAAAGATAAATTTCTTTGCTAATTTTTAAAATCCAAGTAATAAAACTAAATTAATTTATAAAGACTAAAGAATAATATTCAATAGTTAGAAAATAATGACAAATGTTACTTACAAATATGAAAATTAAAAAAAAAAAAACAGATTAAAAATTTGAAATATTTTTGATTAATAAAATTCTTTATAATAAAAGAAAAAAAAATTTTTTTTTAAATAAGTACGTAAAAAACGTTTCCAATCGTTAACTAAAGCTTCAGTTAAATGTTCAAAACGTATTGGTTGTTGAACGATGAAATCACCATCATATAAAAAACATAATGTTCCATTAGGACTACTAACAAATTCCTGAAAAAATTTTTGATAATTTTGAGAAAAACAATTGTGAAAAAAAAAAAAAAATTTTTTTTTTAGATAATACTAATAATGTTTAATATTAGCTAATAAATATTAAATGAATAAAGATTTCTTCATTTTTGTACAAATATTATGCACAAAAATAATTTGCATCTTCTAATTTCAATTTTAATTATTAATTTTATGGTAGGCTTTTTTTTTTTTCTGCTAAGAAATTTTCTATAATAGGCGCTTTTGTCTAATGCGCTAATATCATGTGTCCTTATTATGATTATTTAATAAACAAAAACCTTAGACGTATCACATTGCCATACATTTGTCCATGGTAAATTTAAACCAACAAAATCAAAACCACGTTGTGATGGTAAAAATGTACCATCAGTTGAATTATATTTATTGATACCCAAATGCCATTTACCAATCATACCAGTTACATAACCTACAAATTCAGGTAAATTCAATTAATTCATTTTAATTAGCATTTAAAATTGAAAATCATTGATGAATTTTCTTTTATTCTTATCAAATAAAATTGCATATAAATATTTAAATATGTTGAAAATATTATAAATTTTCCGCTAAGATATTATGAAATTTCATATTTTGGTTAGATTATTTTTTAAATTTGAAAATAAAATATCTTACCATATCGTTTCAACATTTCTGCAATAGTTTCCTCTTCCTTTGGTAAACCACCGATATCTTGTGGTAGAAACACTCGTGCTCCACCTGTTACACCTAATCGAATTGGTAAACGTCCTAAAATTAAATCATTTCTTCTGACATATTTTAAATTATAGTAATAGTAATAATCTTAAATTTATAATTTGATACTTTATAAAAATTTTTAAAAAATTATAAAATTATTAGCTCTATTTTTCTTGATTGTAAATAAGTTGATAGTATAATCTGATGTATTTCTTTCTTTTCTTCCTTCCTTTTTCTTTTTTTTTTTTCATTACTATATAAAAATGATTTCAGACAAAAAGTTAACTTAGATACCAGTCATGAAACCAGCTCGACTTGGTGAGCACATACTATCAGCGGAATAAGCTTGCGTAAATCGTACACCTTCACGTATCATATCATCAATTTCACCAACTTCCTGATTTGGATGTCCATAACTTTGTAGATCACCATAACCTAAAATTAGCAATTAAATTTTTGAATTTAATGCATACAGAATAATTGCAAAATATAAAATTGAATTTACGAATTTTAACCGATAATTTTTTGCTATCTAAATTTATTGTCATAATTATTCACTTCATAAATTTCTCTTTAATTTAAATTAAAAAAAAAAAATGAATAATACGAAATTATACGAAACGTACGAGTAAATAAATAAATAAACAAATAAATGAAACAAATAAATTAATAAATTACTTAATTAAATAAATAAATGCATAAATTAATACAAATTTTAGCATACCTAAATCATCAACCATAAGGATTACAATATTAGGTCGTTCCGGTGTTGCCGGTTGTATGTCACATAAATGATCAGCGCATTCATACATTCTTCGTCCAAACACCAATGCTAACATAAATGATAATAGTATAATCCAAAAGTTAATTAACCATTTCATCATTACACTTAATTATTCCTTTTATCGTTATTTTATCAATTCACCTGAAATTTACGCTATGGTAAAAGGTGGAAGGAAAAAAGAATATTTTCCGAATTATTTTCTGAAAAATATCAACGAAAAAAGAAATTTTTTCCGGATTATTTTCTGAAAAAAATATTATTCTAATCAAAAAGGAAAAAAAAAAAAATATCCTTTTACTTATCAGATAATCTTTCTGATTATTTTTGCTGAAGCTAACTTCCACGAAACGTACGAGATATGTCACATATGAAATAATACAAGCATTATACGTACAACAAATTTGATTATTGTTTTCTTTTCTTTTTCATTTTTTTTTTTTTTCCTTTTTTTGTGAAATTTTTCATAATGTGAAATTATGAATTATACGTAACGATAATGAATAAATATTGATAAATAGCAATTAAAATTAATTTTCATGATTTGATGGTTTATTATCGTTGTTTAAAGTGTAGATAATGAGAACATATTGTACGGAAAAAATAATCGCTTACAATTTCACGTGTTATGTGATATTTTATATTAAATCTCTTTTTTTTTTTTTTTTAACGTGCACTTCATTTTTATTTACGTAACCGTGTAAAAGCAAAAAAAATCTCTTTTTTTACGTGTACTTCATTCCTACTTACGTAACCGTGTAAAAGCAAAAAAAATCTCTTTTTTTACGTGTACTTCATTCCTACTTACGTAACCGTGTAAAAGCAAAAAAAATCTCTTTTTTTACGTGTACTTCATTCCTACTTACGTAACCGTGTAAAAGCAAAAAAAATCTCTTTTTTTACGTGTACTTCATTCCTACTTACGTAACCGTGTAAAAGCAAAAAAAATCTCTTTTTTTACGTGTACTTCATTCCTACTTACGTAACCGTGTAAAAGCAAAAAAAATCTCTTTTTTTACGTGTACTTCATTCCTACTTACGTAAACGTGTAAAAGCAAAAAAAAGAAAATAGCTAATTATTACACCAAAGAATTAAACCTAAGAAATAATTTACGTAAACAAATTTGGTTGTTTTTTTTTTTTTTTTCTAACAATTTCATATAAAAACATTTATAATTAATCGATATATATATTCAATTTCAAGTTTTTAATTCACAATGATTAATCGCTAAATTTTATTTTATTACTATTATCTAAATTCTAATTAATAATATCATTTTACAAATGTATTATTGGTTCCATAAAATCATTCAATTCTTTATGCTTTCTTCTAAAAATTAATCTTTCATTAATAATATATAAAAATAGCATGAAATTTACTTGAATTAAGTAAAACTTACATCTAAAACTATCTTTGTTTCTTTTTTTTATACTTTTTAATTATTAGATAAAAAGATAATTAAAAAAAAAAAAAAACAAATTTGTTGTAAGAAAGGAAGAAAAACAATGATTTGATTGATAAGTTTACTACTATTAACATTTGAGTGTAATTTAACATATATAAGCTTATTTTGTAAGCTAAATAAACTTTATCAATTTTTAAATTTTTTTTTTTTGAAAGAAGCGATTATTTAAGCAAAAGAAATTTGTTAAAATAAATATAAGAGAAAATTGTTTTTTTAAAAAAAAAGAAAAATAATAATAATAATTCAATTTTCGCGCGTAATAATTTAAATATGGCGGGAAAATGAATGAAAAAAAGAAAATTTGAAAATGAGAATTAATAAGAAAAATTTATGCTAAAAATATTTTAGTTCACAAAAAAAAAAAAGAAAAAAAAATTTGTAAACTAGTGTAATTCATTTAATTTTTAACAAAATCTTTTGTACTTATCGAAAATTAATGAGCAAAAATCAATTTTGTACGAATGTTTGTTCATCAAAAATCAAACTTTCATGAATTTTTCCGATTTAGTTAGCAATTTTTTTTCTTTTTTTTTATTGGAATTATGAAAAAAAAATTTCTTTTTTGATAATATTAAATTAAATTTCAATTTTTTTTTTTTGTGATAAAAATGATCAATTATTATTTGATTAAAATTATTTTATACATATATATATGTTTTATTTGTTTACTTATTTATTTATAAATATATTTCAATTATTTTTTTGCATTCCTTTTTTATGCATTCATCTGTTAAACATTTTTTTTAGAGAAATAGAATTTGAAAATATAAAACAATTATCGTAGAATTAATCAACAAAGAATAGATAACAAAAAAAAAAAAAAGAAATTATTGTTAGAAAAGTCAAAGGGCAAAGGTCATCACCATCATCATCATCATCATCATCACCATCATCATCATCACCATCATCACCATCATCATCATCACCATCATCATCATCACCATCATCATCATCATCATCATCACCATCATCATCATCACCATCATCACCATCATCACCATCATCATCACATCATCATCATCATCATCACCATCATCATCATCATCATCATCATCATCACCATCATCATCATCATCATCATCACCATCATCATCATCATCATCATCATCACCATCATCATCATCACCATCATCATCATCACCATCATCATCATCACCATCATCATCATCACCATCATCATCATCACCATCATCATCATCACCATCATCATCATCACCATCATCATCATCACCATCATCATCATCACCATCATCACCATCATCATCATCACCATCATCATCATCACCATCATCATCATCATCATCATCACCATCATCATCATCACCATCATCATCATCACCATCATCATCATCA